ATAGCACTGTCCAGTTCTGTGAGATTTGATGGTTGTGGAACCAGCTGCCTGATGGCTCTTTTAACTTCGTCCCACAAATGCTCAATTGGATTGAGATCTAATGATTGTGGGGGCCACCTAAGCAAGGTAAAGTCTCCCTCATGTTCTTGAAACCACTCCTGCACAATACGAGCACCGTGGCATGGCACATTATCTTGTTGGAAGAACCCATCTCCATTGGGATACGCCATCAACATGATAGGGTGAATTTGATCAGCAATGATACTTAGGTATGTTGTGCTATTCAGACATTGTTCCACACGAATTAAAGGGCCCAAATCATGCCAGGAAAACATGCCCCAAACCATAACACTGCCCCCACCTGCTTGAAGGGTTGTATTCATGCATGTGGGGGTGCATGTTTTCATGCTGTTTCCACCAAATTCTCACTCTGCCGTCTGCATGATGCAACTGGAAATGTGACTCATTGGACCACACGACTTTTTTTCCAGTGCTCGACTGTCCAATCATTGTGTTCCTGTGCGATTTGGAGACGTTTTATCTTGGTAACTGCAGACAGTAAAGGTGTTCGAACAGGCCTTCGGCTTCTATATCCCATACTATGCAGTGCATGGCTAATTTGCCTACAAACGTCAGGTGGTCATAATAATCTGGCCACACAGTGTATATCTGCAAGTATACCTGTTACATAACTCTAGAGTAAACACAATGGTCCCCCCTTATCCATGGTTTTGCTTTTCATGGTCTCAGTGAACTGTGGTCAACTGCAGTTTGAAAATATTAAATGGAAAGTTTCAGAAATAAGCAATTCATAAGTTTTAAATTGTACATCTGTTCTGAGTAGCATGATGAAATCTGGTGCCATTCCATTTTGTCCTGCCCAGGACATGAAACATCCACGCTACATACCCTACCTACCTATTAGTCACTTAGCCATTTGGGTTAAGGTATTAATGATTATGGTATCACAGTGCTTGTGTTCAAGTCACCCTATTTTGCATAATAATAGCCCAAAACCACACGAATAGTGATGCTAGCCCTCTGGATATGCCAAAGAGAAGCTGTAAAGTGCTACCTGTAAGTGAAAAGGTGAAAATTCTCAACCTCATAGGCATTTTATCATCTTACATCATCACAAGAAGAAGGGTGAATACAATAGGTTATTTTGAGAGGGGGGAAAAAGAGAGACACCCCATATTCACATAACTCCTATTATAGTATATTGTTAAAATTGTTCTATTATTAGTTGTTATTCTCTTACTGTGTCAAATTTACAAGTTAAACTTTATCATAGGTATGTATATATAGGAAAAGACCATAGTATATATATGGCTTGGTACTATCTGCAGCTTGTCATCCACTGGGAGTCTTGGAACATATTGCCCATGGGTAAGGAGAGACTACTATAATTAGGAGTGGAATTTTGGGGTCATAGAAGATGCAAATGTTAGCTTTTACACATCCTCCAGTAATTTATAAGCATTCTTCCAACATTGGGTATTGTCCAACTTTTGTTGTTGTTGCTGACTATCAAATATCTATTATGTTCCTAATTTTATTAGCATTTTATTTCTCCTCCTACTTCTGCCAGTAATGTTTCTTTTAGGAAATATATTTCTTTAAAATTTATCTTTATTGTTGAAAGTATACAGCTGTCCCCCTCTTCTCTCTTCATTGACCCCCTACTTCCCCCATCCCGTTCACTCCCCTCAGGCCTTCACAACATTATTGTCTGTGTCTATGGGTTATGCATATATGCATATAAGTTCTTTGGTTAATGTCTTCCCTCTCCTCCACCCCCTTCCCTGAGATTCATCAGTCTCTTCCATATCTCTGGGTCTATTTTGTTCATCAGTTTATTTTGTTTATTAGATTCCACTTAGAAGTGAGATCATGTGATACTTGTTTTTCTGTGACTGGCTTATTTTGCTTAGCATAATACTCTCCAGGTCTCTCCATGCTGTCTCAAAGGGTAAGAGATCTTTCTTTTTTATAGCTGCATAGTATTCCATTCTATAAATGTACCACAACACTTTTATTCATTTATCTACTAATGGGCATTTGTTCTGTTTAAAACGACAATGAGGTATCACCTTACACCTGCCAGAATGGCTACCATAAACAAATCAACAAACAATAAGCAGGGACTACTCTTTTGAATATTTGTGTTTTGAATTTTTTGAAAATTGCTTTGTAGGACTTTGACAAATGGTCTAGTTATTTCTCTTTTGTCAGTTGTATATGTGTTGAAAATTTCTTCTTCCAGTTTGTGGCTTGATCTTCTTTTTATGGTGTATTTTGCTGAATAAGAGTCTTTGATATAATTCAATTTAACACTTGAATTATCAATCTTTATTTGTGGTTACTGGGTATTGTACTTAGTTGAAAATATTCATTATGACCTTAAGATCAGAAATATAGTCCTTTAAATTTACTTCTGCAGATTTTAAAGCTTTGATTTCATATTTAAATACATCATTTGGAATTGATTTTTATGAATTGTGTGAAATAGGAATCCAATTTTTTTTTTAGCATAGTAAATCAAATATCCAAATATAATTTATCTAATGGTTCCCTCTTTTCCCTGGTGATCTGCAATGCTGCTCCTGTATCTAAGTGTCTGTTTCTGGGCTCTTTATGCTGTTCCATTGTTTTAGTTATTATGAACCAATACCACAATGTCATAATAATTATGTCTTTATCATAAATCTATGACATCTGATAGGGTAGACCAGGTATCTTATTCTAAATCAGGAACACCTAGGTATTTTAAAAAAAATAAATTTTAAACTCAACTTGTCAAGTTCAATGAAAAAATTCTGTTGGGATTTATTTAGAATTTCTTTGATTCTTTATGTTAGTTGGGAAGAACTTTACACATTTTAATATGAATATTTAATGTAACAAGGTCTAAAGTTAAAAAATATCCTAATGCCCTCCTCATGTCCCTTCTCACTTATATTCCATCAATATCCCTCAGAGGCAACCACTATTTTGTTGTTTTTCCACCATAGTTTAGTTTTTCATGCCACTGAGTTATTTTAAGCCCCGATTCACTCAACATAATTTGCCTGAGTCATCTATTTATCATGAATTCTCTCCAATATAAACTTCTGTATTTACTTGCAAACATCTTTTATGGTAAATCAAAGTAGTTTCTTAAGAGAAGGTAAAAAGGGAAATTGAGGGGGAAGAGAAAACATGAGGGACCCATTTTATATAGTTATTAACACTGTAAATGTGAGTGATTTTTCTTCCACAAGAAAGGAGAGTAATCTTAGAAGCAAAAAAAGCCAATTTGATTAACACAGACACACAAGAGAGCTGCTATAGCTGATTTAAACCATAAGTTGGACCTAACAATTCCATCATGTTGAATAATTAAAACACCAATTCTTATTAATTCCCAGGGATGAAAATAGAGGAGGTGATCCATTAAGTGATTTCTCATTTAGACCGACAAGAGAGACTCTTATCACGAGGGTTTCTTCCCTTTTTGTTCTAATATATATCTCTCAAATGAACAATCTTGCTCTTGTCAAAAGTTCCTCAAAGTAGTCACTGCAATTTCTTGACAGCCTTTTGAATGGGAAATTATGCCCTTTAGAGTGATATCATGTGAATTTACATATGAAGGGAGCACATGTTTGGTACAGACGACCAAACAGACTGATATGATCTAAGGAGAATTGCGACAGTCAGTAAAACAACTTGACCAAAGACCTGTCATCCCCACCTGAGGCCCAGAAAAATCCTTCACTCCAAGCAGGTGAAAATAGGACAGTAGTTCTCAGGAACACAAAAACATGACAAAGGAAAACTCTTGTAGTGTACAATGTCTTGTAAAATTGACCCAAGGCAAAGTTTATCAAAAGGATGCTGCTTTGATGAGATCTTCTAAACTTGTCACTCTATGGGGTTGGCTTAAGGATGGACTTATCAGGCCCATTCCTGTCTTATCCCTTTAGACCAGTGGTTCTCAACCTGTGGGTCGAGACCCCTTTGGGGGTCGAACGACCCTTTCACAGGGGTCGCCTAAGACCATTGGAAAACACATATATAATTACATATTGTTTTTGTGGTTAATCACTATGCTTTAATTATGTTCAATTTATAACAATGAAATTGGGGGTCACCACAACATGAGGAACTGTATTAAAGGGTCACGGCATTAGGAAGGTTGAGAACCACTGCTTTAGACTTTATCTTATAAACTCCGAACAAAGTTACAAGAACAGACTGAGAGGCAAATGGTATTGTTGTTAGGAGACAAAATAAACTTGACATTTGGGAGTTCAACAAAAAAAGTGGTGCTCAGTTACCTATGTGCTGCTGACCTTACCTTCATGGTTGGAGAGACCCCTGAGTGAGACTCAGGGAGGTGTCCTGTTCTGAAACCAGAGTGTTGAGCCAGGATAGTAAGTAGATCTCAAATGGATCTCAGTGGAACATCCAGGATTTTTGACTATTGTTCTCCTAAAGGACCATCAGAAAACCTTGTTGATCCAGCAAAGTTTTGATAGAGAGGTAAAGCATATGTATTCAGGCAAGCCTCCCTAGCTTAAAAATATTTCAACTCTCCAAGCTTTCTTTGTACAATCTCACATTTCTTGTTCCCTCCCATCAAAGGAGCTTCCCTAATAGAACCTATTATTTTCATAGAAGCCTTGACAACCCATTTGCATGCATCTTTCAACTTTCTTGGTCTTGAATTGGAACTACTCTCTGGAATTAGGCTAAGAGTAGAGCCCAATCACATTATAGGTTATGGAAATGGCAAATTATTGGATTTACATAATGCACAACCTTCATGACCACCTGTAGTAGCTGCACATAAAAGATCAAATGGACAAAGATGAGAAGAGAAGGTGAAGTGGGTGATTATAGAAGGAAATGTATGTGTGTGTATGTGTGTGTGTGTGGGTGTGTGTGTGAGTGAATGGTTAAGAGATTAGCCTTGTGATGTATGATAGTATCTTTTTTCCCCCTTAATTTTCTAGAGATCTCCAGGTCATCTTTTTTGGTGGTTCTCAAAGTTTGCAAGACTTTACAGGGGAGATTATACCTTATGAGAAGATCTTCATTCACCCAAACTTCACTGCCACTTCTCCTAAAAATGACCTCATGCTGATAAAGTTGTCTCTACCTTTCATCTTTGTCACTGAGTTTTTTCAGTTGCCTACTCTTGTGAATAATGAAGTTAAAGATTGCTTGGTTCACACCTGGTTACAGGGTGAAGATTATTTTGGTGAGTGACTGTCAAAAGGAAGAGTTAGTTGTATTCTTAGATATATTCACACCTTCAGACCTCTGAGGAATTAGGGGAAGGGATTGGAACTTATAGGCCCAGTGCCAGATTTCTAAGCACATGTGTGAAATTAGAAATGGAGCAACCATAATGGCTCCCTAAAGTAGAAGGGGCGGCTCTTTTAGGCCTTTGAGAATCAAATCCTAAATCAAGGGGTCACATGTGTATATCATATTGGCACATGCAGCGGGGGGCTGGATGCTGTATCTATGCTTGAGTGTTGGTCCTGCCATTTATTATAGGGTTATGGACACATTATTTAACTTATTTGAATCTTAAAAATGTGTGAAAATAATATTTTACCTTTGTCTAACAGGAGTGATATTGTTATAACTACAACATCAACAATAGATACCATTTATTGAGCACTAATTATGTACTAGGTACTAAGTCCCCTCCACATATTATTTGGTTGTCATCATACATCATGTTTTCTTAGGATTTATATCTTTTAAGTGAGAAAACCAAGACTCAGGGAAATTAATTCATTGTCTATGGTAACACACCATAGCTTGGATTCAGATCTTGCTTGCTCATTGATGATAAACTGAGCAGGAGGACATGTTTAATCCATGATGAGGTACATCAGTTCTTCTCTGCATTTCTTTTTTTGTTGTTAATCCTCATCCAAGGATATTTTTTTCCCATTGATTTTTAGAGAGAGTGGAAGGGAGTGAGGGAGAGAGAGAAACATTGATGTGAGAGAGACACATCGATTGATTGCCTTCCTCATGTGTCCCAACTGGGGCTTGGGTTTGAACCTACAACCCAGGTATATGCCCTTGACCTGGAATTTAACCCATTATTCTTCAGAGTGCAGGCTGATGCTCTAACCATTTAGATACACCGGCCAGGGCTACAGTCTATTTTAACCAAGAATAAATCCCAAAGGAGGAGGAGGCAGGATGCCTTATGAAAATGCAGACAGGAATGGAAATCTCTCTTATTTCTTGTGCTTAGGAAATCAAGACTATGGCCTGCACAGCATTCATATACAATTGAATCCTCATTTAGACTGCACAAAATTACTGGGTAAAAAATTCCTTGAAGACATGTTCTGTATGCGAAACAAAGTAGGAAGCCAACAGCCATGCCAGGTAACTTTCCTTATCTCATTTTTACATATTCTCAGTAGCTTTTCTTTCTGGCTTTGTGTCTCTGTTACCACTCATCCTTGTTGAGGCTGTGGAATTTATACTCAACCTAAGAGCTCTGAGAGCAAGGAGCTAAAGAAGGATGACTCTCTGTCCTCTTCCCTGTGTTAGAGGTTAGAGAAATAGATATTCTGTGAATTCAAAACTATTTTCCAGTTTCCAGCTACTGCTTTGAAATTTCTGTCTCTATGGATTACTGGAGGTAGTTAATACAGTGGAAAGAAGCCTTCAAAATAGTTTCTTATATCCTGGGCTCCTTTGCATGGCAAATATAGTGGCTTTCACTTTTGTTCAGGTATTGAGGAATTCTCAGATGGGAGGGAAGTTCTGATCGCTCTACTCTGTCTGGCAGGTGGTCACAGCTGCACCAGTCATATGTGGCTATGAATTAAAAGGAGTTATGTCTTGGGCAACTGGATGTATTCTGACAGGACACACTATTGTCTTCACTGACCTCTCCAGCTACAGTCCATGGATCAAGAGCATTATTTCTATGAAATAAGCTGATCTGGAGCTCCACTGACACCCTACATCCCAACTGACCCATGGCAACCACATTATGCATCTCAGTCCCAGGCTTTCCTAGGATCTAGGCTTGGCTGAAATTTCAAAAGAGATCAGTGGTGACTTGTGGGTGTTGGCATGGCTCTAGTTTCTTTAACTGCTTGCTTGCTTATCCCCAACTCATGAATACCTGCTTATAACATTGAAAACATGAATGTTGGTGTCAAGAAGTGGAGGTGACCCAGGAAGCTTTTCGGATCCTACTAACTCAGCTACTTCTCTTAAAATACTCCCTGCTCTATCCTAAAAACAAAAAAAGACAAGTAGAAATGAGGGTCAATAACTACCAGGAGTCTGTCTGGGCAACATATAAACCACATGCCACAGTATGTGAACAGTAATTTCCTAAAAATTGATTAGATGATTTAGCAATTCTTCTAAAGACCAACTGTCTATAGGGTCAGTGTGTGTGTGTGTGTGTGTGTGTGTGTGCGTGTGTGTGCTTGTGTATGTCTATGGGTGGTTATAGTTAACTTTTTCATTAGCTACTTAAAAGATCTCTAGAATTCAAGTTTTGCTTAGGTTTGCTGAGGTTATGCAAAGGTCAGTGTAATTTTTGGAATAAGGATTTCTGTATTTAAACAACAGCTATAATATGAATATCAAGGATTTCATAAATGGTAGGATGATTTTTTTTCTAATACATTGTCCTTCCAGTTTACTGCTTAAAAAAAAGATATGTTTTTATTTATTTCAGAGAGAGAAAGGGAGAGAGAGAGAGAGATAGAAATATAAATGATGAGAGAGAATCATTGATCAGCTGCCTCTTGCACGCCCCCTACTGGGAATTGAGCCCACAACCAGGACATGTGCCCTGACCAGTAATCAAAACCTGACTTCCTGGTTCATAAGTTTATGCTCAATCACTGAGCCACACTGGCTGGGCTACTGCTTTTTTTTTTTTTTTTTTTTTTTTTTTTTTGCTTAGAATCACAAATCATTTTGAAAGGGCATGAGAGTGGTGGAGTTCATGAGGTTTATGCATGGGAGTTTGCAAACATGCCCCTGGATACACTTTCTATACCACGCATGCATTCATGAGCATACACTTTCATCCACAAGCATGTCCCAGAGGTACCTGTTGCTTACTTTTAAATATGTGTTCTCTACACATTATTTTTAAACTAGTGCCCCAGTGCATGGATTCATGCACATTGAAAGGAAATTAATTAGAAGGTGGCTGGTGGGGCAGGACTGGGCCAGAAGGGCCAGATACGCCCTGGAGCCAACCTCCTGATGTCCCTCCCCAGCCAGCCGCACCTGGGGCAGTGCTGCAGCTTAAAGAGTGTCTGCAGAGTGATTGGGGTCCCTCCAGCAGGTGGGGTCCCTCTGCCTGGCCTGTGGGAATTGGGCTGAAACCGGCTCTCTGACATCCCCCAAGGGGTCCTGGATTGTGAGAGGGTGGTTTTCGGGTGACGCACCCTGGAATCAGGCTCCCTCCTCTCTGGTTCCAGGGTGCGTCACCTAAGAACTGCCGATACCAAGTCACCGCAGCTCAGCAGCTCCTGCATTTGACCCCTGGTGGTCAGCTACTGGTCGGACAGTCGAATGGTTGCTTAGCCTTTTATATATATATACATTAATACATGATAGATTAAACTGATTTCTAAATTAAGGCCTATCCATTTTCATGTAAAATATTCGGCATTCAAGAAATTTTATTGTCTGAAATGTGAAACATAATTTGTTTTGTCCTGTGAAATATTGGGATTCTTTTGTTTAAGTTGCTATCTGATTGATATAAATCACCTACTTTTACAAAACCTCACACAACAAAAGCCATTCTTTCTTTCTTTATTTTTATTGACGACACTATTACAGATGTCGCCATTCTCCTTCCCCCCTTTTCCCACCTCTGCCCAGCCTGACCCCCTTCCCTCTGGGCATCACCATATTGTTGTTTGTTCTTTGGATAATCCCTTCACCTTCTTTCATCCAGTCCCCCTTCCTCCTCCTCTCTGACAGCTGTCAGTCTGTTCCATGTTTCCATGCCCCTGCTTCTATTTTGTTCATCAGTTTATTTTGTTCATTAGATGAAACCTTTCTTTTGAGACTAGTAATGGGGATCAGAAATAATGTGGGAAATGCTCAATGTGCACAGGGGGGTTCAGGAATTGGGCAGTGATTAGTAATTTTAACAGTTTCCACCTGTTTCACCTTTTTGTTGCCTACTTAATTCCTACTAAAGTTGTTAGACATGCTCTCCATCTTTACTTATCTATACCAGATGGTGTATTATCCTCAGCCAGCTAAGCTAGTTGCAACCTGAACTTTTCACTGGGAAGATCTTTCTAACAACCTACCTCCATGTCTGTCCTTTATGTTTTTCTGGCTTCAGACTTATAGATCTGTCACCATTATACTGCAAATATTCTGGCTTGAATCAAGCTTTTTAATTGCTTGGTTACCAGTTCTTCAATTATTGGGCATTTTTTCTTCTTTATATCTTCTGGACTTGATCTTTCCGGTACTGGTTCTCTTATCTCCATCTCATCTCACACCCCAATATAAAAAGAAAAGGCTAAATCAATCAATCTATCTATCTATCTATCTATCTATCTATCTATCATCTATCTATATGTCATCTATCTATCTATCATCTATCTCTGAGACTAGACCATTCATCACACTACTAATTTTTGTAAGAGTGTCACTACTTTTCTAATTACTCTCAATTTGTCCTAAGCTCAAATCCCATAGATGGTTGGTTCTAAAGCCTTTTCTTTCCTATCCTCACTTTAACTTTGTCTACCAAGCACTTTAGGCTGCCTGTGCTCTGTCTTCTCTCATCTACCTCCTCTCCTGACATGCCACAAATCACTGTTGCATTCCATTTTGGGTTCCTTTTTCTTTTTACATGGGCTAATGTTCCATGTCCTTCTTCTTAGTTTAAGTCCATTGCATTGAAATGGATACCAGACCCCCATCCAACCTGCTCTTCAGATTAGCTGAGAGCAGATTTCAATATGGTAAGTGAGGAACACAACGAAGGGAACAGGAAGGCTTGCCCTGTTGGGTCAGGTGGTTCTTCTCTGCACTCTGGCTCCCATCTTGTCTCCAAACTTCTGATTGATCATGTGCCACCTTTAGTTCAGGAGGAGAAAGATCTCCATTCTTGGGTCCATAACTTCATTTATAGATGACTTCAAAGATCCCTATTCTAATCTCACCATGTTTATTATACACAGTTGCTTGCATACTTCTGACTTTACATCTTTTCTTCCCCAGCTCACCTCCTTCTTTGGAAATATGTAGGGGATTGATATTCAGGAGACTGTAATTCCATTCTTGGCCTAGAATTGACGAATGATGTAAATTTGGAAAATCATTGCGCTTTGGATTTAAATTATTTTAAAATCTATAAAAAAGGATTAGATTTAATTGTCTTGATAGTGGACACAGTGATTGCCTTCTTAGCATCCACTCTGTTACAGGATTTCAGGGCAGGAGGAATAGGGAAACTGAGACAGGAAAATTAAAACAAGGCCAAACAATGTGGACAATTTGCAGCCAGCTTGTAACTAACAAACCACTATCTTCCCCAGCCAGGAAAATTAGAGAAAATGGTTAAAAAAAACCTCCCTAATGGGAGAATGCACAAATGGAGGGGAAAAAGAGAAAGGAAAAAAAGGAAGTTTTACTCCCTAAGCAGAGAAGCCAGAAGTCTCAAGGCTTGGCAAGATAAAGTTGCCAGGTGCTTCTGATGAATTCTGGGAAGGCCACAACAAAGTAAAAAACAAACAAAAAAAAAGACCTTGAGAATGAATCTGTAACAAAATAGTCAGCAGAGGAATTTTGAGAGCTATAGACAGGAGGGTATATAATGCCCCAGACCCCCACCCAACCTGCTCTTCAGATTAGCCGAGAGCCCGTCTGTGCTTCATAAGCCAGATGTATAGGCTTGCTTGCTTTGCTTTTTCAATAAAGGTGCATGCTTTAATTGCTTTTAAAAGTTAGCTTTTCACAACGCAATTAAGGTCTCTCCTATAAACTCATTTATATGAGAAGGCAAGGATCGGAATTGGGGACAGCCCTCTCCCACTGGCTCAGAGGGCTGTCCTGTCCAGTAACATCTCTCATGTTGGTTAGAGGTGCCTATAACAACTCTACCCTCCTCTATTATGTCACAATCATCCTCTTCACGGGTGTGGCCTGCTTGACCTAAGCTGATCAGTGAAATCCCTTGCTTGGTTCAGGTGGATATATGACACAATTTGGCTTAATGAACATCTACCCCTTTAATTATGTTCAGTGTTGAGATAACCCTGTAATAAGCTAGGTTGAGCCATTGCTCTAGGCCATCGGTCGGCAAACTCATTAGTCAACAGAGCCAAATATCAATAGTACAATAACTAATTTGATTGAAATTTCTTTTGAGA